AAAATCTATCGTTTATCTTTGCCAGAAATTGTGAATCTTTCTCTTTTAAATAGATAATAAAGATTTTAGGCAATGTTACTAAACTGTTTGCCTATGCAAAAAAATATTGAAGCTCTCCTTAATCATGAGGAAAAAATGAGCTCATTTGGTTGAGAAATGGCGAAGATATTTAATTTTCTTTTTCAGTCAACAATTTTTTGGACACCCTGTACATAACTATGGGCATTTCCTTTTTCGTCCTACTGCAACTCGATTTTAAACTGCAGGTATTGGCTTTTTAATTCTAGATGATACAGACGAATAGAACGAGTTCTTTATTTGCTGTAGGCCTTATTGAACAAGTATATCATTTTCCTTGATTGTCATCACTTTCTCTTGAGAAAATTTTATATTCAGATGAGAAACAAATCCTTGTAGATGACATTCTTTCTGATAATCCAAAAAGCACGTGTCACAGTGGTTCTACATGATTTCATCATTAAGAGTTTAGCAATGTTTTGTTATTTCTAAACTTCATTTTGCTCAATGATATGGGTGGCAGCAAGAGGTACATCTACATTCCACACACCATTTTACGATTGACTAACTCTGAAAATAGATTTTCATATTGCTTCCAAACAAAATTGTTAACAAATACAGTAATTGATGATAAATTATAGACATAACGAATGAAAAATCATCTGAATGATCTTGAGCAAAATTATGTCGACTGAGTTCATTTGGTGCTAATGTAATCCCATTTTCGGATGCAAGAAAAATGCGTCAGTTTTTTCAAACAGATTAATTCAACATTTTCTCAAATAAACCTATAGTATAAGAAAGGAATCAAAACTTTTCATGCTAAATTTTGCTAAATGATACAATTGTTTGAAAAAGTTCAGATGAAAGTTTAGGTCAATTTCTATGTTATTATTAATAAATGATTAGCTTTTGAATGTATTAAAATGGAAAAACAATTGTGTCGTTGCTCTATGATTGACTAAAAAATATTATTTATCATTATTTTACCACCTGTCGTTATTAATGAAAACTTACTTAATAGCTCAACTGATATTTTAAACGGTAAAATAGCATGCAATACTTGTGAAAGCACT